AAACAGGATGTCAAATATAGGAAGAAAAAAGTAAACAGAAATAGAAATTAATAGGTATGCTATAACATTTAAGTAGTAAAATAGTAAAAGTAGTAGTCAAATATAGATAAGTAAATTCAAACCTAAAGTTTAAATAAATCAAGACATGTCATTTTGTGGCCCATTTCGGTCCTTTATATAAAGCCGACATAGAGCCCACTTTGGCAAACTCAATTGGGCCCCAATAGGACATGTTCGCTGAGTCTTTAAAATGATTTGACTTTTAAAAAAAAGAAGATTTTTCGAAAAAGATATTATTTGAATTTAGTTTAAAATTTGAGAAAAGCTTTAAGACGTAATTACATTTGAGAAACGTAAAGGGGTTTTCATAAAGTAAAAGTGGTATTGTGATTTATACTCCTCCAGCTAGTTGCCTAGCGGAGTACCTCATACCATAGCGCGTACAATCGGATGGCATTTAAATTTAGAAAATAAAATGAAATTTAACGCTTTTTTACTTACATATATGGGTCCTAAATGGGCCCCATGTGGACTAGCCCTTGAATACAAAATGTTTTGAATTCAAGGACTAGCCGACATGGGGCCCATTTTGGGCCCATAAATAAAACCCACATAGAGCCCACTTGGGCAAACCCATATGGGCCCCAATAGGACATGTTGGCTGGGTTATAATTCACTGAATCCTGTTTGTGAAGACTTATAACTTTTATGCCTGTTTGAAACAGGCAGAAAAGTTATAATTAAGTCTTCAATAAACTGATGATTTTAGTTATCGGTTGTTTGCTTTTGCCTTTGCAGCCGAATTATTAGCAGGTAAATCACCTATAGAAACAAACTTTGATCTATTGTTATCATGTTTAAAGCCTCAGCATCTTTCACCATTTCCTCAAAATAATTTTTTTTGTGTGTATAAATATTGTATTTTTTTTTTTTTTTTTTTTTTTTTTTTTGTTCTTTATTACAATATTTATGATACAGAATGATACAGATACAAATAATATAAAAAATAAAAAAAGAAAAGGTAACAAGTCAAGATATCGTTAAGAATAATATAATAATATAAAGAATATTAATAAATATAAAGAACGCGGATACTCAAAGAAGACCATCAGGTCTTGTCACAGAGAAACCGCTTTTGAACGTTTTTTTTTTTTTAAATTTTTTTTTTTATTATTATTATTATTTTTTTTTTTCAATGTTTTCATTCTTTGTATTTATTTATTTTTGTTCAGTTTCTTTTTATTACAAAATTAAATTTATTAATAAAAGTATATAAAGTTCGTAATATAATATTATAAATAAACATGCAATATTACAATAGTAGAGTTCTAAAACTAAAACATGTTAAATAATTCACTAAAATAAAACATGTTAAATAATTGCTTGTTGATAAAAAAATAAATAAATAAAAAAGAATGTACATTAAATATATTCATATACTAATATAGACAAGTGATTTTCAAAAATTTAAAAGTAGATTAGTATATTTTCAGTTGAAAAAATGAGTTTTTTAAGATTTTGTTTAAAAGAATCAAAATTACATTCTTGAGAAAAATCTTTAGAAGTATTTAGAACTATACTATTCCATAAAAATGGTCCGCGAAATGAAATAAAAAATTTTCCAAAATTAGTTTGAGAAAATGGTTGTCGAATTAAGTTATCGTTCCTTAGAATATATTTATTTCTATCTCTTTGTAAATACAAGTTACGAAAAGAAACGGGTGATAGGTTGGTCTTGCATTTATACATAAAACAAAGAATATTAAAAACATTTAACTCATATATATTGAGTGCTTTCATATCATATAAAAGAGGCTTGGCGTGAGCAAAACGGTCCTTGAAATTTATAAGGCGTGCTACATGCTTCTGTTGCCGATAGAGAGGTTTAAGTTTACTTTTATAAGTGCTACCCCAAGCAATGTTTGCATAGTTGATATGGCAATGAATTAACGAATAATATAATTGAATTAAGGTATTTTTATCAAGAACGTTTCTTATTTTGTATAAAATGCCTATACTCTTTGAAATTTTACTGCACAAGTTAGCAATCTGGCATTTCCATGTAAGATTTTCATCGATATATACACCTAAAAATCTTGTCACTAAAACTCTATTAATAACTATGTTATCGATAAATAGAAAAAGTAAGTTGCTAGGCAGCTGGTGCTTTTTACCATAAGGATGAAAAAGAATCCATTTAGTTTTATCAATATTTAGTGATAGTTTGTTTAATCTAAATCATTCAGAAATTTTGACTAGTTCAATGTTCATATTGCTAAAAAGTGTAAAAATGTTATTATGAGAAAGAAATAGGTTAGAATCATCAGCAAACATAATTGTCATTAGGTTAGAAGCTTTTGGTAGATCATTAATATATATTAAAAATAGGAGAGGTCCTAATATGGATCCTTGAGGAACTCCACATGAAATATTTAACAAACTAGACGATACGTTATCATTCGCATAAACAAATTGTTTTCGATTATTTAGGTAACTTTTTAGCCAAATTAATATTTTTCCAGTAATTCCGTACCACTCCAACTTTTTAAAAAGAATTTTGTGATCTATAGTATCAAAAGCTTTCGCCAAGTCAATGAAAACACCTAAAGTAAATTGAGAATTTTCAAATGAGTCAGATATATTTCTTGTAAATTGTAGAATGGCATGTTCAGTAGAATTGTTTTTTTGGAATTTATATTGATTGCTGCATAATAAATTGTTTAAAGTAAGATGACTATAAATTTTATTGTACAAAATTCTTTCTAAAACTTTAGAGAATACAGAAAGGAGTGAAATTGGACGATAGTTACTTATATTCTCAATGTCACCACTTTTTAATATTGGTATGACTTTTGCTAATTTTAGAGCATGTGGAAAAATTCCCTGTTTAATTGATATTGAAAAAATTTTAAAGAGTATATCTTTTAAAACATCAAATGAACTTATAATAATGTTGCCATTAATACCATCAGGGCCTACTGCTTTGTTAGATTTTAACATTTTAAAGGCATTTTCAAACTCTTCAAAAGATAATTCAAAAGAGTTCAAGTAAGAGTTTAGAGGGAAACGTAGATCATTCATTAAACCGTTAGCTATAGGAATTCTTTTTGCCAGATTTGGTCCTACAGACACAAAATATTTATTAAATTCTTCCGTAATTTGTCTTTTATCATATAAAAATTCATTATTATGTTTAACCGTGTTTGGCAAAGAGTGAGATGTACATTTTTTGCTGCCAGTAATTTCTCTTATTATAAACCAAGTGCGTTTAAAATTTAATTTATATATATTTAGTAAATTTAAATAATAATTTTTTTTTTTTTTTCTTGAGGCTTTCAAAAAGTTTAGCGTAATTTTTATATATAATTTTATTTTCATTTGTTTTAGATTTTAAGTAATTAATGTATAATTTTTGTTTAATTTTTGAAGACTTCCGCAAACCCTTTGTAATCCAAGGCGATTTAATACTTTTAGCTTTGAGATTTAAATTAACTTCAGGGAAATTAGTTTCATAAATATCATAGAAAGATTTAAAAAAGGAGTTATAAACTAAGTTTATATCATCAGAGGTGTTAATAATGCTCCAATCAATTAGAGATAATTGTTCCTTAAAAGATTTAAGGTTTTCATTTGTAAAAGATCGCTTTTTGAAAACTCGTTTTTCATTAGGAACTAATTTATTATCTATATTTATAGAAAAGAAAATAGGAAAATGATCAGATTTGTCATTTTTAATTATGCCCTTTTTTAAGGATTCGTTAAAAACATCAGTGGTTAAAATATTATCAATTAAAGAGGCACTTGATTGAGTAATTCTTGTCGGTTTGCTAATCAAGGGAATCGCACCATTTTCAAAAATGCCATTATAAAACCTTTTAATGTTATTATTGACGTGGTATTGAAAACAATCTAAATTCAGATCACCCACTAAGTAGATAAATTTATTTTCGTGGTTACTTTTTTTAATAACGTCATTACATAAAAACGAATTAAAATTTTTAATTTCACCTGAAAGGGCCCAGGTGTGTGTTTTATGGAGCCGATTACCAAAAAAAGTGGTACAAATAAAAAGAAAAAAATATTCTTTTGATAAAATTTGAAGGTGCCACGGTAATTTTTATAATATTTTTTAAAACTTTAAAGGAAGTAAGTTAACATAAAATACAACCGCTTTTCAATATAAAAATACTGTAAAACCATTTGTTTTTTAGCCAATGTTGTTACACTAATAATTATTTATCAGTACACGTCAGAGTGATGCGACGCACCACCTCAAATTCAATGTTATATTTATTTATATACTTCTGATTCAACTTTTGGGGAGTACTTATATCCTGGAGGAGTATTTATATCCTTGAAAATAAATACTCATTTGAGTATTTATTTCCTAGGATATAAATACTCCCAGAGAACATATTTCGTAGGAAATAAATACTCCGGGAGTATTTATTGACGGGAGTAATTTTAGACTGCTATACCGGCGCGAGTAGGTGTCACTTGGGGTGGTGGAGGGGTAAGGGTGTCTTTTCAACTTTTGCCGACTAAAAAAAGAAAGAAAAAAAGCCTAGTCGACATTTGCCAAATGAATTGTCTAAAAGGGTCAAATTTGCCGACTAAATGAACGAAAATACCATTGATTTGTCATTGAAGTATCACACCCTTTCGCGCCGGCCTTACATATAAGTAAGATTAGATATTCTAGAAGTTTAATTAAGGTAGGTAAAATAGCATTTTTATTATGCATAACATTGAAAATATCATTGATTTATCATTGAAATGTCACATCTCCCTTCACACTGGTCTTACATATAAGATTAGATATTCTAGAAGTTTAGTTAAAGTAGGTAAAATAGCATTATTATTATGCATAGCTCAAGAAGCCATACTAACGTAAATCATTTATTAACCATCACGGAGGTAAGTCTTATTTAAAAAAAAAAATAAAACAATCGATTATTGTTTAAGTTTGAAATAAAAAAAACATAAAAATAAATTTATAAACAATGATATTTTTTTAGAATATATTTTGTACAAAAATTTATTACTTATTTGTGTTATACTCATTATACTTGCATCTTGGCTTCCAAACCGTTTATTTTATTTTACTCTGCACGACAAAGCTACGAAATATTAACTTCGAAATTAATTTCTATTGAGGGAGCCGGCATCGCGACCATTTTGAGTACTTTTAAAAGCGATTAAAGAAATGGCAACTGATGCACCTATGACACCTTTGGATGGTATAAAACTATTTTTCTTTAAAAAGTTTTAAATAAACATAATTTAATTTCTTGTTATGTTGTAAAGTTTTATCAGATTATGATACTGCTATCTATTTCCTAATTGCCCCGAGCCAAAATATATGATGTAAATAATGTCAGTAGTTAACATTTTAGATAAAATCTTGGGAGTTGAAATATAGCAAGCATTCAACAACATTAGTACACCTAAGATGCTAATGTTGTTGAATGCTTGCTATATTTTTTTTATGCAGTTTTTAATGATCTTGATTTGAAATCTTAAGTTTAATTGGCGCTACTGCAGTTTCTTCCTTTTGTTTATTGTTGATTATGGTAAAGAATTTTATGCTGATTTAGAATCATATGAAAACATAAGTCTGATAATCAACAGAAAGTGCTCTAATTCGATGTTTAAGTTTAAAAAATTTCACTAAAAAATGCCAATATTTTCAATATTTTTCATATTCAGTTATAATTAAATTCCTTTTTAAAGATAAAGATTCCATGGCGCTACAAAAAAAATTTGACGTATGATCAAAAACACGGAAGTTTCATAAGCTTTACTCTTATATCTTTTTGTATGGTTAATCACCTTGAGGTTTTTAGTATCAATTAGTGTTACTCAACCTCTTCCCAGCCATATATAGAAAGTACTATGTTTGATATGGCTTCACCTAAATATTATCAAGATCCTGAGATTACTTTTGCTAAAACTTTCTGCAGGAAGGTAAGATTTCCTAAGCACCAAAACACATCTAATTTGTATGAAACTTTCCATGTATATATTTAAAAAGGGATGAGGAATCTAATGGACTCTTTAACATTCGTACAAATTTTTTTAGTTCTCAGCAATTAAAAACTTCAAGGTTAAGTTATATAGAAAAAACAGTGTTTTTTCAAAGAGTCTAAATGGAAATGGCAATTACATCCTTTCCTCAATTTAAAACAAGTATTTATTTATATTTTCTTGAAGAAATGATACTTAGGAAGTTCGCTTAGATATTATGTATATAATTTTTTTATTCCTTTGCGTATCGTTTGTTTTGATTTTTACACTTGATTTCTGATGGTTTTTATTTTATTTTGGTGCTATTTCATGCCAAATTTTCCATACTTGAGGACAAGGCGTTTTATCAAAAAAATGATCAGTTTTTCCAGCATAAAAAATGCAATAACTTAGATCCACTTAACTTCTAAAGTTGAAAGACCCCTCATTTTTAAAATTTTTTAAGCTCTATACAATTATGTTAATCATATAAATTAATTGACAAAAAAAAAAAATCTAGAATGGCTATTAAAGATAACTTTAAGAAAGCCTGGTTTCTATTGACAATTTAAAGCAAAACTGTTTTAAAATGCATAGCACATCAATTTCTGATTGATCTCTGGCCCTAACTCTGTTCCAAACCATTTACATTTTATCGCACCAATCCCTATTTGTCAGTTAATGTATATGCATTTGGCTGCATCAATCCCTATTTGTCAGTCGATGCATGTACGTCTAAAAAGCATTATCTTAAATTAATTTTTGAATATTTAATCAAAAATTTATATTCATAAAAACTATTAATTTAAATAAAATTTTATTTTGACCACAAGAATAACCCGGTCGCATAATAAAAAATAGATTTTCTAAACAATCAATTTCTAAATATAAATTTTGGCGTAAAACATTTTTAAAAAATGGAGAATAGCTTTTTTAGTGTAATTTTTGAAAATTCAACATCGAATTAGAGCATTTTCTGTTGATTTTCAGACCTATGTTTTTATACAATTCTTATTCAGCATAAAATTTTCTATCATAATCAAAAGTATAAAAAAAAGGAATGGGGGAACTGCAGTAACGCTTAACTTAATTTGATTTTATTGATTTCAGTGCAGTTTTAAAACTTTATGATCTGTTTGGTTTCAATTACCAAAACCAAAACAATGTTTTAGAGATCATTTATTTCATAAGTTTAGAATGGCTTATTTTTAAAAACACCAGACGAAACTGAAAATTAATTTTCCTTTTTTTCTTTTTATATAAATATTATTCTCAATATTTTCAACCACCAATGCTTTTCTGGCAGTGACACACTAACAGTAGAAAAAACTCAAAAATTGCTGATATTTATAGGTATTTTCATGTATAGATAGGGTACTGAAACTTCATTACTTTCCACCACTCTTGAATTATTTTTTTATTCAAATGTTACGGCTCCTAAATCATGATCAATTTTAAAACTCAATTTAGTGGCTATTGAAGCACTGTGTGCTGAATTATCTTGTTTTAATCAGCTACTCAGCACCATTAAGAGTGTGATCTTTCCAGCATTTAAATAAATATTCTTGTTAGCTTCTGTGTGGTATTGAAAGAGAAAGTAGATCTTGGTGCAAGGAATTTAATTCAGGTTTCACATTTTGTATTGTTGGTCTTATATCAGCTGATATGAGATATTGTGAATTTTTTCAAGTAATAGAAAAATGCTGTATTCTTATGTTTTTCATTGATCATCTGTCTGGCATAACCTTACAAACACTTTTTGGCTTTTGCAAGAGTTTTGATTGTATCTTTGACTTTAAGGACTGTTTGTAGAGCTTGGTTGTAGAGAGTATAGTGTGTCTAGGAGATTTTTTAAGATTAACAGATCATTTCTTTCTAACTGTGTTAAAGTCATCCTGGAAGGCCAACTCTTTTCATTTCCAGTTAATCCTGGGGTGCCTATCTTGACAAAAAGTCTTCTCTTTTTGATTGCTTAGAACAGATAATCTTGAATCTGATCTTTTGTAACAGCTTGGGGCTTGCAGTGGCTTGTGAATTTTAACTCCAACAAAATTCAATTATTTACTACAAACAACTATTGCAGGCCTTGTTATGAGATTTCATTGCATAATTGAAAAGAGTGACACAATTAACAACAAAACTTATGTATTTACATGATTAAAAGTTAAATTGCATCGTTAACATATTTTAAAGTACTGCTTTGCAATTAAATTTAATTTTAAACCACTGGTTTTTTAAGCACATTAAATTTAATAAAAATTGCAGCGTCAAAAGAGCTTAAAAGCATCCAAAATCGCCTAGACATGTTGTGTTTATATTAATGAGAATTATAAAAAAAAACATTTTTGGTTAAAATTTTTTTGATTAAAACAAAAGAATAAATGCATAACAAGAAAAAGTAACTTTTTTGTTTTAGTTAAAGCTTGCCTTTTCTGTTTTGTAGTAGGCCAAATAGTCTTCATAATATGCACTGCAATCTACTAACTTGATCATTTAGATAGTTAAGCGCTAAACCAGCCTAAACAACAAAGTTAAAAAAAATTAGTTAATTATATTAAAAAATGATTTAATTATATTAAAAAATGATTAATGTAGTGTTTCTTTGCAAACACCAATATACTGTACTTAAAATTTTTAAGTGCACTGAACTGCAATTACTTTTAATTTTTTTTGGTTTAGTGACTTTTTTTTAAAACTTCATGCCTAATTATCTCATTTCAACATATTCCTTGTATAGGCTGGTTTGGCGCTAAGTCATCCATTTATTCAAGCGCATTTTATTCCTAAAAGTTTCAGTAATTGACCTCTTGATTTTTTTTGTTTAAAAAATCGATCTTATAAATATACAAAATAATTAATGATGTTATGTACTAAAACTCTTAGGAATAAAACACGCTTGAATTTATTATCAAGTCTGTAGATTGCGGCATATGTTAGGAAGACTATTGCAAAATGGGGAAAGCAAGCTTCAACTAGAACAAAAAAGTTACTTTTTCTTGGTTTGCATTTCTTCTTTTGTTTTAATCAAAAAAAAGTTCAGCTAAAACGATTTTTTTTTTTATCATTCTCTTTAGTATAAACACATGTCTCCACAGTTTGGGATCCCTTTAAGATCTCCTACTTTTTAAAATAAGTTTTAAAATTCTTTTCATCAAACTTAATTTTAGTTACTTTTTTATGTTTGTTTTACATTCAGCTCTTTTGTTTATTTATAGTTTTATTTTTTTTATTAATTAATTTATTATTTAAAGTATCAAGTTAATAAATTTTTTCCATCATGTTACAAACCATAATCAGACCTGTAGGCACAAATTTTTTAGAGAGTTTTTATTAATAATCTTATTGTAATAAATTTATGAAAAGATGATTTAAAGTTTTGAAATTGCTTTTTACATGATTATGTTGAAATAAAAATTAAATTATGAGGAAATTTAACTTAAATTATACAGAAATAATTATCTTAAAAAATGCAGAAATATAAATTAAAGCAAGAAAATGAGAATAAAAAAATATAAAATTAAAAAAAAAGTTAAAAAAAACAACTGTAGTTTACCACTTAATTTACTATTACAGGGTTTATTTTAATTTCATTTTCTAATATTGATTTTTTTATTTTAATTTATATTCCTACATTTTTCAGTTTATATTTTTGCATAACTTAATTTTTATGATCATCATCATCACTAAGTTTTTAAATCAATTTCAGAACGAATGCCTATAAGAAATGATTAACTAGTTTCGGTCTTTTACTGTAAGATAATTTTCACAGTTTGAAAGTTAATTATTCCAAACTTATTGCAAATATCTTATAAACTAAAAATTGACTATTATATTACACATAGGGTTTATAGCATACCATTCAATGTAAAAATTCAATGCCGTTTTATTTAAATTCCTTACTAAAATACAAAATTTATCACTTCCTTTTTTATTTTACTGTTTTTGTTTTCTTATTTTTAAGATGCCTGATTTTTTTTACTAAATAATATAAGTGAGGGAACAAAACAGATATGTCTAAATAATTAAACGAAAATAAAAAATCTATAACATTCAATCTATTTGAGGAACATGTGTCAATGTAAAGAAAGAACATTTTTAAAAATATGTTTACAAAAATGTTAATAAAAAAGTAATAAAAGTTTTTAAAGAGATCCCCAACTGCTGAGACAAGTTGTGTTTAAATTAAAGAAAATGTTAAAAAAAACATTTAAGCTACATTTTTTTGATTAAAACTAAATAATGCATGCACATCGTTAATTTTAAAATTCACGTTTTAGTAGATGCTTGCCATCTTTTTTTTTTTTTTTTTTTTGATTCTTGGAGTCTGTATAATGTTAGCCGCAATCTGCAGACTTGATAATTTATTCCATGCTTTTTTAATTCATAACAGTTTTGGTGTGTGATGTCATCGTATAAGTTTTGTCTCTCAAGATATCGTATAATTATTTTGCCGCAATCACCAAATCATGTTAATTGTATAACTTTTTACTAAATCCCTAAAAAAAAGTTTGATACAATTAAAAATTAAATTTATAAAATTTATAAAAATAAAAATTTAATATATAACGAATATTTGCGGTAAAATGTGCTGGTTTAAACTAAATATAAACAAGATACTAAAAGAATAATTTTACTAAAGCGTATAAATTAATTTAAAGTATAAACTGAATGAAAAACCAGTTACATGAATAAAACATATAAACTAAACTAGAAAATAAATATTAAATGAATTATTTTACTAATAACCGTACAAATCTAACTAAATTAAAGTTAAAACAAATATTTGTACTAAAATATAGATAATAAAAGTTATAAGATAAATATAAGAACGAAGAATCACATTAACTTCTTTGCTACCAGCCAAACAAAAATCTTTTCGTAGCAACCGCACATTTTTTTGAATAAAATTTGAATGGCAAAACATTGAAAGTTAATTCATTAAACAATAAGAAATTCAAAGTGCTTATAAAACCATTGTTTTTATAAATAGTAACTAAAACATCAAGTCCAAAACAAAACTCATTTAATGAATAAAAAGAATATTTTTTCTTCATAAGACTTGATTAAATACTTTTTTTTAATATTAATTAAATACTAGTTAAATACACTTAACTAAATACTTAACACTTCTACAAGTTAAATTTTACAGTGTTAACGCTGTTTTATTTTATAACTAAATTTAAAGAAGTTTTTTTATAAAGGATCATTCAAAATTTTTTAACTTTGTGATAGCTTTTTTATAATTACAAAATATAGCTCTTATTTTTTCTTGATTATGTAGAGAATTAAACCTTTAGAACAAACAAATTCTATTTGTCTAGAATGGAAATTTATGTACAAAAGAAGATAAACTGTAAAGCATACTTGAAATCCGCTACCAGAGGCTTGCGATTGTGAAAGAGTTAAACCATAACAAAATGTAAATTAAACTAAAACGAACATCTCTATTAAACCATATGAACTAAATATAAAACAAGAAACCGCATCATAATGCCTTTATTTTTTCTCTGCCTGTAAACTCTAATAATCACCAAATATGTATAATTGTGTCATGATTTTGGCTGGCTTCTAAAGCAAAGTAATAATAAAGCAATTAAAAAAATATATATAAATATAAAAATATATATATTGGTATAATTTTTAAAGATTTTTTGTGATTTAGTAAAAAATTATACAAATATTTGATTTTCTGTATGTAGTGGAAAAAATACTTATATCTTTAAAAAAACGCTATCTTAAAAAGATATTGCAATGATGTCATATACCGAAACTGTTATGAATTAAAAACGCATGGAATGAATTATCAATTCTGCAGATTGCGGCTAAATTTTAATTTTGTTGGTATGCATTTATTATTTAGTTTCAATCAAAAAAATTTAGCCCAAATGTTAGCCCATTTTAAATATGCGCAACAATTATATTTATTTTGAAAGCCATGGAAAAGTCATTAAAATGCAAATGTTACATGTGTGGTCATATAAAAATGTTCAATTGCATTGCTTCCTGTAAAAGACTGAATTTAGGAGTAGTAGTTAATAGTTATATTATGTTAAAAGACTGAATTTAAGAGTAGAAATCTGTTACTTCTAGACAATCTTTGAGAAATTTTATTTGTAACCCTTTTTCATACAACATTAGAAGTTTTTGTCTTAGGTTTGATGTAGATTTGACAGATCTCTAACTTAATTGCTTTGGATCAATTAACCTATATTTTTGGGTTTTTGTTATGCAACTTTCAATTGTTATTGTTTTAGTCTTGTTTACTTTACCAAATGTTTATTTTTAAAGTACCTCAGTGGTTTTCAAAAGATGTTTTTTTTTCAAGATACTTTGTGGTTGGTTTCAACATGACTGGTGCTTGTTCATTGTTTCCTTTTCTTTTGACATTTTCAATATGAATAAAATATTATTTGCTTAAAGACAACCTAACTGTATTATAAACGTAAATAAATGTATATAAATATTTAACTTTAAACAAAAATAAATATCAAGTAACTACATTCTGCTTAATCAGGCCTTCACAGCAAGGGATGTATTTGCACACCATTATATGACCATGCAAATAATAACTTTGTTTTGACATTTGATCATGGTTGTCAACATGTCTTTAGAATTTGAACATTTTAAAAATGCCCAAAAAACCCAGCAAAAAAAACATCTAAAAATAAAATTAAAACTCAGCTAAAATAAAACGCTAAGATTATTTAAATCAGATTGTAATTATGTTTGGAATAATAAACTTTGAATCTTTTATCTTCCATAGATGAGTTTTTTTCGGGAATTCCCGGAATTCCGGAAATTCACATCAAGTTTCCGGGAAATTCCGGATGCTTTTTGCTATTGATTTGTAAAAAGTTATATAAAATTTTAAATACGACATGGTTTGCATTTAAGCAATTATGTTTTCTATAAATGAAATTTTCACGAGATCAATTTTTTCAAAATTTTTTTTTCTTTTTAATTCATTCAAATTAACTTTTTCGAATATTAGAAATTCTTTTTCTTAAGAAGTTAATTGATGTAAATTCCGTTTTAAACGTTTGCAAAAGATCTTGTGTTAAAAATTACTATCAAGAAGAAAGAAAAGAAAATGCAAGTTAAGAGTTTATCTGACATTTCTGAGATAGACAAAAATATTAAAAACAAGTTTCGCTGGAATTGGCTTCAAGAGAAAGACTATAATGATGAGCATTATTCAGCCTATATTACAAAGATAAATAAAGCCGGAGCGGTAAGTTTATTCTCTAACTGAACACTGAAATATATAACTTCATCATAGTTATATATTATTTGATTTGATGTTTTAGGTACGATGTACAATATGTAATAAAGACTTTTATTATGGAAGTGAAGGTAAAAAATCTTTACTCAGTCACTCTAAGTCTAAAATGCATCGTCAAAACTGCGCAATGATTAAGTCCAACGAAGCCATACCGTCGTCATTTTTTACTAATTTAAAAAAAAAAGACATGTGTATATTGCCATATGGCACTCCGGATAACGTGCATATTGGCAGTACTTGCACAAAGAGAGTAAAGCCTACCATTAAACCTATTGTAAGTTTTAGAGACAGGACATCAAATGCAGAAGCTATGACACTCACATTTATTTGTGAACACAATCTTCCAATATCTTTAACATCCCATATGATTGAATACGCAAAGGAAATGTCTAAAGATCATCGTGTTTTAAAAAATTTGAAAATGTTCAGAACAACTGCTTCGTATAAGCTTCGAGAAGGATTAGGTGAAGCTTTTCATGCTGAGCTTGTTTTTGATATGAAAATAAAAATGTTCTCCCTTAACATAGATGAGTGCTTCTCGGCAAAAAATGAGAAGGTTCTCAGTATACTCTTAGCATATTTTTGCGACAAAACTAATAAAGTTGTATTAAAGCACTACGCGTCATTATCGCTTGTTACGGTAAATGCCGAAAGTCTTTTTAATGCTGTTATTTATTTAACAAAGACGCAATTCCATTAAGTAATCTTGTTTCCAATTTATCAGATTCTACCAATTATATGAGAGGAAAAATCAGTGGGTTTGAAACAAGGTTAAGAAAAGCGGTTCCTCACTTACTTGATATTGATGGTGATATTTGTCATCATGTGCATAATGTTGTCAAAAAATTTACTTCTTTTTTCGGCAAGGTAGTTGAAAACTTACTGGATGATATCTACATTGATTTTAAATATAGCCCAGATCTTCGTACATTTCTGAAAAAAATCTATCAAATCACAGGTGTCACATACAACACTCCAAAGCAAAGGGTTTGTCATCGATGGTTGTCTGTTTTAGATTGCACTCTTCCTATGCTTGAGATGATGCCTGCTTTCACCTTAATTTATTCTTCTTGGCTATCAAAACAAGACATCTCTCTGTATAAAGATGAAAGTGACAAAATTTTAAAGAGGCTATCAAATCAAAGTAAGAAACTAATAGAAAAAATAAAATGTAAAATGCAGCAGAAAAAACTAACAAAACAAGGTGCAGAAAGAAAAGCTAGAATTGTTAAAAGTTTATTTTTCCGACGTAATGAAACATTACTTTATATTAATTTGTACGTTGAAATTCTTCCTATTTTTAAATCATTCATTTTAACTTTTGAACAAAAAGAACCGTTAGTCCATCGAATTTATGATGAGCAAATTGAACTAGTGAAAACAATTTTAACTTGTTTTATTAAGCCAAAGATGATAAAAAATATAACAGGAGAAAAGTTGAAGTTTTTAAACCTGAAAGATAAAAAAATGTATCGCCATTCGAACTACATATACCTTGGAAGTAATGCTGAAAAATATTTGTCAAGAATACTTATTCGAAATCCTGATTTCAAATCATCGTTTTTAAAGACCTTGCTAAAAGCTTACCTTGAATCGTCAGTTTACTTACTTAATAAATTACCCTTTAACAACCCTTTATTAAAATGCCTCTCTGCGATCGACCCAATGTCTCAAGGTCACGAAATTACAGAGAGAATGCTAAAAAAACTCAACTTTCTTTCCCTCTGTAGATATAAATAAAGTAATATTTAATCGAGAAGTTATGCAGCTTCAGATAGATATAGCGCTTCCACCCGTATTTGATGATGGGAAGCCCGTACGTCTTGACTATTGGTGGGCTGAAGTTTTTAAGTGTAAAAAATATTTAGAGCTTAGTAAGATTATCAAGGCATGCTTAAGTATTTTTAGTAGTCCTCATGTTGAGCAATCTTTCAGCATGATGAACACCATAGTTAACAAAAAGACAAACTGTCTTGATACTTTAACGTACTCTGCTATAGCTTCAGTTAAGTATCAATTATTAGCAAACGAGACCACAGCAGTAGGGTACTTTAAAAGGCGAGATATATTGCATGACCCAGTTAACAAAAATATCTGTGGTCATTTGCAAACTGCAAGCAAACGCTATAATAAAAAAATGAAATTCCATCAGAAAAATAGAAAAGTTGAAGAAAGATTTTTAAATATAAATTCAACGTCGAAAAAAAAAATTGCCTTACATGAACAGTGCAAAAAAGTTAAAGAATCTATTATTGATCATGCAAAAAAGTGCAGAAAAAGAAAAGCTGACGAATGCTTCACAACAGAAAATTATAAGAAAAAAAAGTATTGATTCCTGACATTTATTCCATTGTCTTACATTTTATATTTTAAATATAAAGAAATTATTGCGCTTTGCAGGTTGCTTATGTTAAAACTGAGATATTATATTTCATTTTAGAGAAGCATAATTAAGTAGTTTTTAGTTTCTTTATTTATCCCTTTACCAACGTTCCAGAATTTACCCACATACCTTCGTCAATTTATTGACCCTAAATTTTTCCGGGATTTTCAAAGAAAAAAATTTCCGGGATTTTCATAAAGTCAAAAACTCATCTATGATCTTCACTCATTTTTTAAAATATTATGGTAAATTGATTTAAATAAAGTCAAAAAATTTTTTTTAATGATTGTTTAAATTATTAGTGGTTTTAAACGCGTTTCAATAAAAAACATGAGTAAAGATCTAAGTTATTTAATTGTAACGGGATTCAAAAATATTTTTCACTTTTTTCAATAAATTTTTTAAAATCCTCTTGAGTATTTTGACATAATTTTTGTATTGAGTAAATTGATTTTTTTACAAACTTCTTTAAAGAGAGACTATTGTTGTCTAAAAAAATTGTTGTTTATAAAATCTAAATATATAGTTTTTTAATAACAGTTATTATAAAAAATACATACTTAAATAATTAGTATAATATAAATTAAAAAATTATATACAATATTCATCAATACTTAAAACAAAAATTATTATCAGTAATTTGTTACTTTATTTCACCAATATAACAATAGTTATATTAGCGAAATGCTAATATAATTATTGTTATATTAGCGTTTTGCTAATATAACAATAATTAGTAAAAATAAAAGTTTTAATGTTATTTATTTCTAACATATAAATATAATATATAATCTTTATTAATCAGTGCATTTTTAAAATGTAAATAGCCAAGGTCCAATTGTCAAAACAAAGTACTAAAATATATATAATAATTTAGTTTTGAACAAGTCTAAAAAATTTTAAATCAGGTTCTTTAAGGGTGTTTCAGTTTAGTTTTAATATTTTAAATAATTAGATCAGTTCCATTTGGTTCTTTGTTTCGGTTTTCACACAAAAAAAAATAGAACCAATCTAATTATTGCTTTGGTTAACTACACAGCCTTATCCACAACAATGCTATATTTTGTAAAAAAAAAATTATATTTGAGTTTAAAATAATAAAATAAAGTATTTAAAATAATTACACAAGTAACACTATGGATATCTTAATTAGCATTCTTAGGGCCAGATGACACTGGTCCTAAATTTAAAATTAAAATTAGATATGTTTATATAAGTAAATAAATAAAAATAAGTAAAAATCTTCACAACTTATTAATTATCAAATTCTAATAATCAATATCTGACACAAATTTACCTGTTTTATTTGTAAAAGTTAATGAACCTGGTAAGTCTGCAATTTTTGATAAAACTTAGCACAAGCCTTCCCAGGAAAGGCTTGCGGTTTTTCGTCTTGTACGACCACAAAGACGTTTTTCAAGTTAAAGAACGTGATCATAACCGTTTGTGCAAGTTTTATTATATGCAGTGCTGAAAAATTGTTTTAAATTTAATAACTACATAAGAAATTAAAGTAAACTTAAATAGAAAACGATAATATTTTAAATAATTTGTGTGTTGTTTTTATTTTAGTGGTTATTATTTTTTTAGTGGTTATTATTCAGTAAGTCAAATCAAAAAAAAAAAAAAAAAATGGTTTTAGGCGTTAAAAAGGATGACTTTCCCATATTTTGTTTTTTCTTTTAAAGAGGAAAGAGAAAACATGTATCGTCATCTGTTTGTAAAATATATTTGTATAATTATGTAACAAGTTTATATCAAGAGTTAAATTATACGATCACGATTTGTAAACTCTGGTAAAATATTAGGTCTTTAAAATTTTATTTTTTGCAAAGCTGTGTACTCTGTTTAAAGGGAGCAAATTATTAAAAGTTTGCTAGCAAGAAAGATACAATTAAAAAAAAAAAAAAAACTTACGACTACAAAAGTAATAACCACTTTAGTCACTAACTGCGGTAGTGGTAAGAGCGCTTGCTTTGTAAGCGAGAGGCTCGGGGTTCAACTTTTACCACATCCCTGGAAGTACCGCGCTCAACTTAATTTCTCTGCGCAGCGGTCTTGCTTGTCAAGGTTCGTGTTTCGGAGTTAAAGAGTTGAGAGAGGGTTGTACCACAATTACAACAAAAAAAAAATAAAATAAGTAGCCTCTTCAACTGTAGTGGCCCCCTTGGGTAGGCGAATAATTAAAAAGCAAAACAAAATAAAAACTGCATTATAAAAGTAATAAAACTTTAATCGTGTTATTACATTCATAAAGCACTTATTACTTTTAAAGTTCATTCTTTGTTCAAACAACATTAATTCCAAACATTTATTAAAGTAGAAAAACATCTAGAAAAAATAAAGCGGATATTCAAATATTATTAAAAATTTCAGGAACTTTCACAGATCACTTAAACAATGTTATAAAAAAGTATTCTGAAAAACGTTACGTAAAAACGCGAGTTAATTTTAAAATCAACCAATATAAAATTTTTATTGGTTAATTTTAAATTTAATGCGCGTTTTTACAGTCTATTAGTAACGTTTTTCATAATGCTAAACTTTTAATACGATACGTTTTTATAAAGTTGTTTGTCACATTTTTATAAGTTAAGTTTTAATATTATTTGAACATCCACTTTATTCTTCTAGATATTTTTCTACTTCAATTAAAATTTGGGAATATTAATGTTGCTTGAACAAAAAATGAATTTTAAAAGTTACAAGTGCGTTATAAAAGTAGTAACACTATTATAGTGTTATTACTTTTGTAATGCAGTTAGTGACTAGAGTGTTATTACTTTTGTAATTGTAAGTTTATTGTTTTATTTTTTATTTTTTGCTAACAAATTTAAGTTGATTCTCCCCTTAAAAACAAGGAATACAGTTTTGTATAAACTAAAATTTTGAATACTAGATATTTTTCCAAATTTTGCGTTTCGCATTCGCTTAATTCTACCCTTGTTGTTACATTAAAATTATACAACCACTCTAAAGAAACAAAAATAAAAACAGTACACAAATTATTTAAATTATTAATTTGTTTTTATTTTTTTCTATTTCAATCTCCTTTTATTTTGTTAGTTTTGATTATTTTTTTTAAGAATTAAAAAAAAAAAAATTTAAAAGCACTTTTAAAACTTTTTCAGCATTATTATAAAACTTGTAAACGTCCGTGTTCAAGTTGTCTAAAATTATATACTTGCGTGTGGTCATACAAGACGAAAAACCGCACGCCTTTCCTGGGAAGGCTTGTATGTTCCTTATAATATTTTATAAAAGTGCTTTTAAATTTTTTTTTTTTTTAATTCTTAAAAACAAATAAAGTAACAAATGAAATAACTCTCTAGTCATTTGTTTGCTACAGCAAAATAATAAAAAAGTATATAATATTCTTTGAAAATTAGTTTGATATTGTGTTAGATATATTTAAAATATTTGACACTGATTGAAGTTGTACAAGAATCTATGACACTGACTGATTGAAGCTATGACACTGACTGATTGAAGCTGTGACACTGATTGAAGCTACACAAGTAAAACTCAATAACAAAATAAAAGCCATATCAATTATAAATAATAATAATAAATCAACTACATTATGTCTATGGTTTTTTTAATCATAAGTCATGTCACCATGAAATTGATCCTGTGTAATTGCATGACATTAATTATTGAGAATACCTTGTGTTGTAGCATCAAACTAAAAATTAAAATTATTACTTAGGATAGACCCTTAAAATCATCTCTGATATAATACCTAATTCGCACACTATTTGCTTAACAATGCTCTGAATAGAAGTATCAGTAAAAATAACATCAATATATTGCCCTATTTTTCTTATTGGCAATGGAATGTTATCTGTTGAAATATTATAAATGTTATAAATTTTGTTCCGATAATGTAATGAATATTAATGTAAAGCTTTTGGTGTATTTATATGTGCAATTTTATTTTTTTCCATCAGGAACTTAAATTTTTGAGCTATACTTATTCAAAATGCAAATATACAAATTAAAAAAAAAATTTTTTATTTTTAACCTAATTTACTTATAATCATGAGTTAACTGTCTATAATTAATAGTTTTTGTTTTAAGGTTTTAGCATAACTATTTTAAAAATATTTTGTTTAAATAACATTTGTTTACTATCGTTTGACCATATTAAATTAACAAAAAAAAATCTAGTTTTGGTAATTTTTGATTATTTTTCAATACAATTTATAGACACCTATAATCGTGGGGTAGAAGATTACAGAAAAGAACAAGATGAGCGTCGTGATTATCAGAGAAGCTTAACACCAAATCATAGTCCAGCTCAAAGAAGTAATAGCCCTGGTAGGAGACGCAGTAGAAGTCGATCACCATTGCGAAGAAGATCTCGATCACGTTCAAGGTCTCCTCGTCGTCACAGGGATAATCGTAGTGGAGGTGGTTATAGAAACGGGAGCAATATTGGCAGAACTGTTCGTGATAAATCTTGTCGTGTTTATGTTAGTAATTTAAATTATGACACAAAATGGATGAATCTTAAAGATTTTATGAAAAAAAGTAAGTATAGTTTTTTTTAACTGTTTCTTGATTCTTTTGATTAAAAAGTGTAAAAATGAAAATTATTTTGATTGATTGCTATTTGCATTTGCATTTTAAAGTATGTTAATTATTAGTGCTGAATTGTCTGGAATTTTTTTCTGGTGGAAAAAAGTTTTTTCTAACTTTTAATTACAGAAGGCTTCACCATAAAATATCTTGAGGAACTTTGTTTGTATCACCTGTCTGAGAAATGTTTTTGTTTGCAATATGATAGTTTAATTGTTTTGTTATAGTTGGAGCAGTTGAACATGTAGAAATATTTACAGATGGTGAAGGTCGATCAAAGGGATGCGGGTATGTTGCTTGAAAAGTTAGATTACTAAGAAAACTTAATATATTTAATAATTAAAAAAAAGTTCTGCATGATTCAAGTTATTGCTTGCTTTGTTGTAGTGTTGTTGAGTTCTCACACAGTGACGATGCCGCTCAGGCTATTAAAGAACTAGATGGAGGGGAGTTAGCTGGTCGTAAACTAAGACTCCGTGAGGTAAACTTCGTAGATTTAAAATATTTTAAATAGTTTTTCTCTCTTCTTTTGTTAATTACTTAGTTGGTATCAAGCAATTTTCTTTAACGGCTTGGCTACTTGGTGATTACTTCTGACATTTACACTTTAAAAGAGAAAAGTTTTTAGAGTAAAAAAAATGACATAAAGTAAAAAAGATGACATATTCTATTAAGTTTTGTTTAGCTAGATCATTTTATTCCCAGCTGAAAACAAAATTTCAAATAAATTAGGGGAGAAATTTGGGTTTAGAAAACACCAGCTAAAAGCTAATTTCAGTTGTTTGAAGTTTGGTAGTAGTTTCACATACTGGTTTTATACTAAACTTATTATGGTAATTAAAGCATGTTTGTAAAAATTTACTAATATGTTTAAATTATTTGAAAATTAGTGTTTTTTTGATTAAGTTTAAATTTTTTAGATGACAGCTGAAAAAGTAATTTATTAGATATGCTTAATAAAAAGATAATTCAAAAGTTTACTTTATTTGGTGGTCTGGTTCCATTTGTTTTTAGATTAAAATTATAGTGCTCAAAAACATGTTTGGTCAAATTTTGAATTTAAATAACATTATGATAAAATTTAAAAGTTTTTTAATAGTCTGGGAAGACCTTTATCATTAATTTCCAAGGTAACCATCATTAAAAATGATTAATTTAGTTAAGTTGCAAAGGACTACTTAAAGAGTGTGGTTAATTTTTGTCCATGTACATTGTACATATTTTTGTTAATATTAAGTTTAGCATAACTATTAAAATATTAAGTTTAACTCTCTTGGAAATTAACTACCGTAACGCAAAGTTACTTTGGCCATTTTAAAAAAGTTTAATTAAACATCTGTAACTTTTAAACAGTTAAGTAACGTTTTACTATTTAAAATAGCAATATTTTACTATTTAAAGTAGTAAAACGTTACTTTACTGAAAATTTTAACTTATCGCACAATATTTTTTAAAGAGTTCAAAGAATTTTTCAAAAAATTTGCTTCGGAGTCGGAGTTGTACTAAAAAAATTTTAACAACTGTAGTCGAAGTCGTTACTTTTTTTTTACGACTCCACACCCCTGATTAAATCTATAAATTTCAAATGAGGTTTAGATGTTCATGTAGACTAAAGTTAATTTTTTCAAAACACAATCATTCAAGTCAACAAAGCAATACAAATAATAGGTCTAATAAAAAGAATAGTTTCATCTTATTTAGATTTATATTCATTTGAGAAATTATTCTCAGTTCTTGTCTGCCCTCATTTGACTATTGTGGATCAATATGTAATCTGCAGTGCAAGGAGCTTCCAAACTGAATCAAAAGATGGTATGATCTTTTGTATAAAAAAAGATTGTTGGTGGTGAAAACGAAAAGCCTAAAATACAGACTAATTCGTGGAACATGTTAAAAGTCTATATTATTAATAGTATATACTTTTAACATATAATTATATATAACAGCGTGGAAAATAAGAAATCAAAGATGATCCATCAATTTGATCGGCTAACACATGAAATTGACGGTCAATTGTTTTTGGTTTTTTTAGACGGTCAAAAAAGTTTGTTTTGTTTTTGCTTAAATTTTAATATGAGTAATAGTTCTTCATAATTGAAACTAAACACAAAAAATATGAGTTCGTTAATTTTTAATGCTTTAAAATAAACTTGTATTCTTTTTAAAATAATAATCTTAAAGAAAATAAATGTACTTTTTAAGTTTAAGCTTGCAAATAACTAACATTTAAATTACCTGCTGATGTTAATTTTTCATTCAAATAAAAAAGAAGTTTGATAATATCAATTAATCTAATTTTGAATTTTTTCTTTTAATATCTAAGCAAATTTTATACCATATTTAAAAAATTTATACTGAATACTTATTACTAAAAGAAATCGTTTTATGAATGCTATTGAAAAATGAAAGCGTTGTTTGTCTCTTTTTATTCACCTTCATCAAGATGGGTTGACGCTATGTTTATTTTACAATTCAATAATAAAAAAGAAAAAAAATAGTTAATGCGTAGTTAATAATTTCATATTTATTTAAAAATAATTTGATTTTTTCATAGCTTTTTTCCCTCAATGAAAGGACTTTGCAATGCATTCATTGCAACGTCTTTTCATAGAGGGAAAAAAGCTACGAAAAGATCAAATAAAAAGATGAAATGAAAAAAAAGAGCAGTTGGTAGAGAAAAAGTTCTTAGTTACATACAAAAATTTTAAATAATTATTTTATATCTCTGATTTTAATGAGCAGAGTTTTATGAAGCACTACTACAAAAATTACTAGTGTTACATAAAGCTAGATATAACTAAACATTTTTAAAAATCCTATTATAGAAAATTTTGAATTTATCTATAAAGCATTCATTTATTACATTTGCAACAAAAACTTGTGAGAAAATAAGTAAAAAGATTTAGAGAAAAAGAAAAAAAAGCTGACTATAAGTATGTTTAAAAGAAAAAATGTTCTCAGTTAAATACAGCAATTGTTATATTTTTATATTATTATAAACATGACCTGCAAGAATTCATTTTCTAATATATTAAAATCTAAGTTAAAATCAAAAAAGTTTCAGAGAAAACATAAGTAATAAAAATCTTTTTATATGCTGTCTCTTAAAGTTTTTACTTTTAAAATCGTATTATCTCAAAACTCAAAAATGTAGAGATAGAACAAAATAATTCTAACCACTAAAAAATGTTATGTTTAAGTTATTTTCAAACTTAGTTGTATATAACATATCCCCCTCTTGTCTCTTTTTCCCACTTGTTATCTTGACCTATTTCACCCTTTTGCTTAACATTATTTATAGATGTAATATTTGCAACCTAAAGCTTATTAAAATCTTAAAAGTAATTGTTCTAAATAATTTTTTTATATATTTAGCTTAATTAAGGTAGCGTACGCTACTTTAGTTACACTCATAGTGAAATTCTTTTATTTTAAAAATTCCTAGAATTCCTACAGAGAGGCCATTTAAAACTAACTCCTTAGACCATTAAAAATGATAGACATGGCGTTTTCGTAAATTGTTGAAAGCCAAAATCTTTTAGCGAATGTGATGTCATTTTTTTGGCAAAAAACTAGAAAAAACAAACTAGAAATAAAATTTTGTTTAAATTTTTTAGAAGAATTCTTTTTATTAAAAATATATAGAATATAGTTTATGGGATATATTATAATAAAGACTAAACATGGTAAATACAATGTTATTTCTTAAAAACCATTTATTAATTACTATTGTAATTAATACAAACTCGTATCCTTAAAATAATATATCTGTACCACTTTTACATCTTTTTGTGCAATTGTATACACCCTAATTAAGATTACTCAAAAAATATTAGATAAATGTAAAAGCAATCTCGACCTAAAATAAATTTTTTTTGCCACAGACTGACGTCTCTAAGCAAAACTTTTTTGGCTTCTTTTTTGATTAGCATTATATAGCAAAGGCCACGTCTATCATTTTTAATGGTCTAAGTTAAGTTCAGATAAAACTGGATAAACTCAAACATAAGTAATATTTAAGAATCTTGGTCGCGGCAACAGTTAGGTAGTCATCACTGGGGGAGGGAGGCACTTTTACAAAACCCTGTCCTCTTATTCTCCTACAATATTCAACATATCCGGCATATCTGGCCGGATATATAAATATTTATCCGGCATGATATATCAATATTTATATGTATCCAGCAGGATATGTAAAAAATCATATCCGGAACACCTCTAATTTCAGGTGGTTATTGATCGGCGGTTATTTTCCACGCTGATATTAAGATACATAAATATGATATAAGTCTATTTAAAATTGACCAAATTTTCATGAATTATTTAGGTCTTCTTGTAGCACATATTTAAGTTTTTTTAATTGTGACTGTCAATGCTAAGTTTCAGTGTAAAGTAATCAAAGAAACTGTATTTTTGATTTGCTGATAATAAACATGGGTACTTTTTCTCATATTGTACTTTCTGCAGCTTTGCCTGTTAGTCTGAGTTAACTGTTTTCCTCTGACATTTCTTATGTGAAATATGGTAGGTTTTATTTTAGAGGCACTGGTTAAATAGTCCAATATCATCAGCTTTGAAAATATTTATAATTTTTTCTTAAAATGGTTAAATAAAAAAAAATATCTCATGTGTAAATGATATGTCTTCGAGCTATTTTTGCTGAAATTGATTTTGAAGCTGATGCCATTCCTAATAATAAGAACAGGAAAATTTAATTTTTACTTGAATCGCATGTTCAAAAATTTATTGCAGGTGTATGCACAACTATTTATATTTAAAACTAACAAGTTGAAATTGACCTTTTTTCCAGTTATGAAACAAACAATAACATGCTTTAAACTTCAACTATCTCAATGATTTGCAAATCAGTGTCTTTTCTTTCAATTTGATTTTAATAGTTTTTATTGACTTCTTTTTATGACAAATCATGTTAATATGGCCTTGTCTAAGTTGTCAAAATTACCAGTATGAAGTTTTTTCTGTTTAGATTTTTTCATTTTTTTTTTTTTTTTTACATTCTAGAGATGTCTAAAAATGAGCTATCTTGTTATTAGATATCCCTTTCTCCAGGTCATCAAAACAGAATGTCATCAAAAGATCTTGTAAAAAAAGTTCTTGTTAAGCTTGATAAAATTAGAGCAAAAAAATAATTGTTGAAAGTATTGTTTGATTGACAGGAAGACATAAAAAAATTTGTAAAACCTTTGGTTACCTGGTTTTACACCAGGTAACCAAATAGACAATTTAAAAAAAATCAAAAATATATATATATTTTTTTGAAGTTTTCTGGTTTTTATATAGTTTACTTGAGGTTAGAGTTTTATGGTTCTTTAACTTAATTCTTTTAACTTAATTCTTTAAAATAATTTACTTGAACAAAATTATTACTGCTAAATAATATGTACATTTACATGCTTTCATAGCTATGTTAACCTAGTTATCTTATTCATCATAAAAAGATGCTGACTGATCTTATGTCCCCAAAATATATTTTATCATTAATATCTGTTAAAAGAACTTAGATTTTAAGTATTCTAAATGAATTTTTCATATTATAATTTAAAAAATTTTTTTTTTTTCAGGATATTATGGATGACACAACATACAAAGAGCAGCTTAAAACACAAAAAGATAAGTCTCAAGCTATTAAGCATAGAGAAAATGATCGGCTTGCGTTATCACAAAATACTTCATCATTAGGCCTTAATTTAGGAGGAGGTTTGGGTGGCTTGAGTGCACTGTTTGGTGCACAAAACCATCAGCTTCAAATTTTGACAATGCTGAATAGCAAAGGTGGTGAATCTATCAACAGCTCAGTATTTGTCAGCAATGTATGATATTTTTTAATGCTTCTTAATATTATATACATGAACAATAATGTAAAAATTAATAATAAGTATGTTAACAACATACATTTAAAGTAAATGAAATTTCAACTATAGAACTACAAGGTTATGTTGATATTATGTAATGTTGAAATAAAAAAAATTATATAACATATAGTTAATATGATTAATGTAATATGATTAGTACTTTTAAGTAATGTACATATAATATTGTACTAATTTAGCTTGATTATGAATTAACATGGCAAAAGCTAAAAGATTTATTTCGTAAAGTTGGTAACTGCGTTCGTGTAGATATTGCTCAAGGAGAGGACAATCGTTCTAAGGGATTTGGAAGTGTAGTTTTTGAAACTCCAATGGAAGCATTAAGTGCTATTGCTATGTTCAACGGTACAGAGGTTGGGCCTCATAGAAGACAAATGAGTGTTAGATTGGTAATTTTATATTTTAACTGATTCTAAAGTCTTTTAGTTATGTACAAAATAAAAGCTCCTTTATATATATATATATATATATATATATATATATATATATATATATATATATATATATATATATATATATATATATATATATATATATATATATATATACACACATACATACATACATACATACATACATACATACATACATACATACAAAATAGATAGGTGAAATAGGTAGCTGCGGGCGTTTTAATACATACATCAACTGCTACATTACCAAGGGTTTGGGTTGGAACAGCAATTGCTTTTTGCTTGTTATTAAAAAACTAAAACCAACAACTTTTTATTAGGATCGAAGTGCAAGTCTTCACCAATTACTTGGTCAACTTGGTATAAATTCTAATGATATCAATCAAAAGACATTAATTCAACTTCAATCTTTAGCTACAGTTGCAATGCTTGGTGTAGGAAGTCTTGGTGGAGGCCTTGCCGGACTTGGTGGTTTAGGAGGTATGAGTTATAATTTGTGCGTATTTATATATATCTTTGTAAATTTATAAGTATCTTTGCGTTCTTAGCCTTGCATAAATTGTCATTATTAACATTATTTTGATTATACTTGACTTGTACATCAGCTTAGGGTTTTAGTTTAGGCAGGTATTATCTAGATTTTAAGAAGTTCTTATTAAAGCAAAAAAAATAAACTGACTTAACTGTTGAATTGTAAATGTTTGTTTTTATATATGTATAAATGCTGGGTTACATTTCATAACATTTACATGTGTAAATAAAATATCATTCATGACAACCTACTGAAGTGGGCAAGAATAATTTGTCTATTAATAAGGCCATCCTTTCCATCTGCAATATCTCTTTTATATGTAGTTATAAATTTATATGTACATATAAAAGAGATATTACAGCAAAAAAAAAAAACTTTTTCTGAAAATGGTTAAAAAAAGTTGTCATATTAGTTGTAGTAGAATTTACCTGGTCAACTTGTTGACTACCAGGCAGGGACTGGGCAAGTATAATTAATTTATAAATGTATCTGTTACTGCAACAAATAACAGTACAAGCTCTTTATATAATATAGATTAAAAAACTTTAATTATTTGATTGATAAACACGTGGACAGGTACTATTTATATATAATGTATGCTAGTTTATATATGATACTATTTAAATATGGTAATATGTTTAAAAAAATTGCAATTAAATATAAGTTTACTTTAATGAATTTATATTTTTGTAATAAACTTTTAAACTGTAATGTATATTTTTGTAATCAAATTTTAAACTATAATGTATATTTTTGTAATTAAATTTTAAACATTGTATTGGTATTAACTTTTTTTTTTTTTTTTTTTTTTTTTTAAAGAAAATAAAAGTAAAGAAGAAAAAATCACTTTTATATGTTAATACTACCAACCCACCTTAACCAGTCAGTCTGTGTGTCTGTACATATTTTCTCATCTTTATTTAAAATTAATACCATCAGTGGTGTTTTGTGTATAAATAGATATTTTTTTAAATTAAATTAATTTTATTAAATGTGGTCAATGTTTTTGAAAATGCTTTTAAAAAAAACACAAAATAATAAAAAAAACTGACAAATTTTTTAAAAAGTTAAAAAAACTGTTGCTAAATTCCAAAAAAATACTATGTAATATTATTAAAGTTTAACTGGTACCTAGGGATAAACCTGGAATAGTTTTTATAATGGGCTGTGTTCATATATGAACACAGACCAGTATAAAAAATATTCTAGCTTTATATAGGCAGATTATGAAATTATGTCTTGTTATACTCTTTCAAACTTGACACTGTTTTACAAAATAAACTGTTTGAAATGAGTATGTTTTCTAACTTTAAACAAATAAAAATTACAGTATTTTATTTGAATATTAAAAAAAATAATTTTGGATCTTTTTTAAAAGGTTTTGTGGTACTGGCATGATTACGGTTACAAGCGTGCGTTTGATTAGAATTAAAATGATTACTATTTCTAATGAGATTTCAGTTTGTTAGTTGTGTGATAAGATTGTGTTGTGATGTATGTTTTTAGACAATAAATTTGCTGGTTTGAATTGTTTATTTGAAAATTTTGTGTTATTGATTATTATCATTATTATTATTATTGTTATTATTTTTTGTCAAATTACAAATTTGGTAATTGTGGACATAATAGAAACTTATGCATTAAATTTTTGATCATGGTGTTTCTGCATGCTTTTTCTTGTTATGTTTACAGGAGCATTGGGTGGTCTCAGTGCTGCGTTAGGTACCGCAGCATCGGGCACTGGTTATGGAGGTCTTCAAGCCGGTCAGACTAGTGTAGCAAACCAGTCATTAGCTGGTTTATCAAGTTTACAGAGTTCTTTAAGTGGTCTAAGCTCTTTGATCAATGGCGTCGGTTTGTCTGGGTCCGGTCTCTCTTCGTTAGGAAACTATGGTACATCAGGTGGAACAGGCAGTTACGGAATTTCAACAAGCAGTTATGGACAATCAGGAAATACAGGTGGAGATAATTACAATTCTGTTAATACTTCCTCAAATGCTGGAGGTAGTAGTCAGTCGAGTCGCAGAGACAGTAGTGGTGGAAGATACGGAAGTACAGGCACTCGTGTATTTATAAGAAATGTAAGTAGTTGAGAACTGTGGATAGCTGGTAAACTCTTTTTTGTGGTGACTTTTTTGCGGTTTTAATATAAATGAATATGGATGTAGCTTAAGTTTTCTTTTGTTTGATTTTGCTTAATTAGTAGCCCAATATTTTTATGCTGGATAAATAAACTGCGTGTTGTTGACTGTACTAGGGTAGAGTTATTTAGGATTGTGAATGTAATTCTTATACTTTTTGTAGTTTTTGCATTTCGGTAAGTTAAATTTAAAAAAAATAGTAAAAACTATTTTATTATTTTTTTAGCTACCTTTTTCTTTGCGGTGGCAAGAGCTAAAAGATAAGTTTAGAGAAGCTGGTTAGTTGTCGGTTTTTTTTTTTTTTTTAATAAATTTTGGAAAACTTTTAAATTTAAGGTTTGTTATAAATAACTCTTACTAGGTAAAATAGTACGTGCCGATATCATGAAAATGGATGATGGAAGATCGAAAGGTTGTGGCACCGTTACTTACGAAACAACTGCTGAAGCTAATCGTGCTGTCAGTATCTTTTCTTTATTGTTTACACTTCTCGCCATTTAGATCCATTTGTTTATTTAAATTAGTTCTTAAAATAATCCCCAAAAACTAACGACCTTTGTAAAACAGAATACATTTAGAAGTTATGTTAAACTTTATTGGGATAGCATACTGACGTTACTTTCTAGCACTGTTGAAAACAACTGTTGAATAAACTAATATTGTTCATAGAAATTTAAGTTTATATAGTTTATCAATATAGTATAGCTTTTGATATAGCTATTTTTTCAAATTTTTAGATTAACGTCAAGCATAATCAGGGTTTACCATAATTATAATCATTATTCATAAAATTATAATTTTTGTAGGTCTGGAGTAGTTAATACTCCAAACCAATCAAATTTTTCACGATTTTTCTTAATAATAAAAGCTTTATTTAATGGCTATCGTTTGGATGGACGACCAATGGAAGTAAAAATCGATATGTTGTTTTAATACTATACTAAAATAAATCTTTTAAAACTAGCCTAACATGCCTAAAAGATTATAAATACAATGGTGTTTTTTTGCATTCGGAAGCTGCGTGCATGACTTATTTAGAATGTATAAAAAAGAAGCTTTTTAAAGAAACTATGACACTAAATGAAATCCGCTTGAGTGGCAATTTGATCTGAAAATTGTACATTTAATCAAATTTATGGCTGCCACGAGAATAGAATTGCTGGTTTAATATTTTAAATCAATTTAAAGCGCTATTTGTGTTTTAGCTTTGTTATATTTTGATTTTATAAAATTTGTTTTAAATTATTTTAAGACCAATCAGAAAATGAAAAAGGAAAAAAATGTAAGTTATTTTGATTTTTGGAAATTTTGTTATGGTTTGCGTTTATATAAAATGCTTTCTAGCCCGTCTAACTTTTAAAACTTTTATCTGAATTTTGTTAATGTAGCTAATGCTTTTAATTGGATTTGAAAAATAAATGAGACCTGCGCAATTTGTGTAATATTTTTCCGCCCAAACTTGTTATCTGCTTTATATGAGTGTAGTCGCGATTCCCTAAAACCTAGACAAACCTGATAAAAATAAGTGAGATGCGGATACGCAACCTATTGTTTAAGGTGACGCAAAGCTAAAAGCAAGTTTCATCAAAAAACTTTGGATATGTTCCCATTTTAATTGTAAACATTGCTAAATCTGTGCTTTCTTGCGCCAGACCATATAACTGAAATTAATGATATACATTTTGATCATACATTGCAAACATTAAGGTGGTAGGCCTATGAAAAAACTTTTATTAAGCATCAAAGTTACATTCACAAAGTTTGAAAAATTAACTTTTAAACTTGAATATATCTTAATGAAAAAAATTCAGCAAAACATTGTAGCGCCTTAAAAAAAATATTTTTAAAATCTTGTGACAAATAAATCTTACATGTAAATATTACATCATGAAAATTTCAGCTTAGTTGCTAAATTAAAACAAGAGATATTGTTTTGTAAAGAAAAAAATAAGGTGGTAGCGAATATTCTTAATTGTTCATATCATGAAAAAAGAAATTATCAACATGATATTCATACAAAATATATCAATTGTGGTGCTTTTTTAAACTTAAGTTTTTTTTGCCTCGCTTATATCAAAAAACCGTCTTTTCAATGGGTCAATTTAAAACAATATCTTGAATATATAGTCGGAGAGAATAACTAGTTAACCCAGACAAATATAGTTTAAAACAATATCTTGAATATATAGTCGGAGAGAATAACTAGTTAACCCAGACAAATATAGTATAAAGCTAAAATTTTGCATAGAGGAAGTCTTTGAAAAATTTTGATTGCGCTACGGGAACATCCCTTTTGGGGCAAAAAATAGCCCAATCGTGACACCGCTAAAATATAAACTATATATCGTTGGTTAGAAAATTTTATGATTAATATTTATATAAATACTATGACTTGAAAACAAATATTTTCAAAGTTTATATTCACGTTTGTAAAGTGTAAAATTGTCAAAAGGTTAAGCCGCAAAAAACTTCATTTTGCTTCATTTTGATTTGCTTTCAAGAGATAAATTTTTACTGCAAAAAATTTAATCATTTCTTTTGTTTTCAATAAAACATTTTCGTATCGATGAAGTAATTCAGTTTTTTTACAAAAAAAAGTTTGCTTCGTATTGAAATGTAAAACTTACAAGTTAAACAACAATTGTTAGATGTGGTAAAAGTACATTTTTAAATGAACAAATAAGTGGTGTTTGTGAATTGTTTTTTATATACTTGATGTAACAAAAAATTTTTTGTTACATCATGTATATGGAAAAGGTCTCAAAACATTGATTCGATTAAGCGATGGAGTACGAATGAATTATGCAGGTTAAAAAAAACAAAGAAGATTTTTCGCGCAGTTTGTTAAAACTTTAGTTTGCACATAACTCATATTCAATAATGACGTTTTGCTGAATGTTTTTTTTTTGTTTTGTTTTGTTTTTGTTATTTAGGTGCCCCAAGAAGACCTTACGGTCTTATCACAGAGCACCGCGGAAGCGCGTTTAACCAGGAAGTTCACGCCTCCTTCCCTACCGTGTTGCGAAATATGTCTAAAGTTCGTTTTGAACCTGGATTCCCTCTTATAAAGCAAGCGCTCTAACAACTGCGCCACGGCCGCATATTATCTGGATCATTTCTAATTAGTTGTTTATAGAATCAAACATATGTTTGGTTGTTTAATTGAAAAATAAAATTGTTAATTAAAAAGGTTTGGGATAATAGATGATTTAATTTGCACATTTTTAGTTATGTTAAAGACCAATTGCGACAGAATACGCATAATAGCACAACAGAACTAGTCCATCATAGCTGTAGAAGAAAGTTTTTGGGTTGTCTTAATGATCAATCATTATCTGTACCAAGAAAGAAAATTTAAACAATTTTAAACAAAAAGCAACAAATCTTGAAAACGAATATCTTAAAGACAAAATGGCAGAGCTAGAGGACAGAAGTCGTCGTAACAACCTTCGGTTTGAAGGAATCGAGGAAACTGAAGGAGAAACGTGGAAAAACAGCGAGGAGAAAGTGAAAAAGCTAATAAAAGAAAAACTAAATATAAACAAAGAAATATATATAGAACGTGCGCACAGAACCGGGAAGAAAGAAGACAACGACGGTAAAATAAGAAGAAGAAGAGCTATAGTAGTTAAATTTTTAGATTATAAAGATCGTGAAACTATACTAGATAACTACAAAAAGCTGAAATTATGGAACGAAAAGATGTATATCAATGAAGATTTTAGTGAGAGAACAATCAACATTCGCAAACAACTATTCATTAAAGCCAAAGAAATACGTTCATCAGGTAATTTTGCCAAAGTTGTTTATAATAAATTAATCACTAAGTCTTTCGAAAAGACTATCTGATTATCAAAAAAACAAAAACAAAAAGGTTTTATATATATATATATATATATATATATATATATATATATATATATATATATATATATATATATATATATATATATATATATATATATATATATATATATATATATATATATATATATATATATGTAATATGTTCACATGTGTGCGTACATATATACCAGTGTATATAAAAACCTTCAAATATTTTCAAAGTAACAAAAACATACAAAATGGATTCAACTTATCGGAATGATTTTGAAAAAATATCAAATTTATTTCAAACAAATACTTTTAATTTAGACAATGAATCTGATCCAGATATTAATTATTTTAATGAGATTAATGGATCAAAATTCGAATGCTCTTACTATTATCCAGATAAAATTAAAAGCATATTTAAAAATAATGATAATCTTGATTATTTTAATATAATCCACATTAATATCAGAAGTTTAAAAAAAAAATTTGATAACTTTTTAAATATGATTTGTCAAACGGAAAATTTTTTTAACGTTATTTGCTTAACTGAAACTTGGTGTACAGAGGAAGATTTTAAATCAAACTCCAATCTCCATCTTACAGGTTTTAATACTGTTTTCTTAGAGCGTAATGTTAATAAGCGTGGAGGAGGAGTTCTTTTTTACATAAAAGAAAACCTTGCGTATAATATTCGAAGCGATATGAGTATTTAGATGATAATATTGAGATTTAACGGTTGAAATAATAAATAAAAAATCTAAAAACGTTTTACTAAGCTGCTGTTATCGGCCACCAACCGGAAGAACTGAGTACCTAAGCAATTATCTAGTTTATAATATAATAGAAAAAACTAGGCAAGAAAAGAAAAAAAATTATATACTGGGGGATTTCAACCTTGACTGCTTCCAGTATAATGAAAAAAAATATATAACAAAGTTTTATAATCATTTATTTGAAACGGGAACAATATCCATTATAAATAAACCTACTAGAATTACAAAATCTTCATCCTCCTTAATAGAAGATTTCGTAATTAAGCGGCTATTATGAACCACGTGATGCAATGTTTTTCTCGGGAGGGCAAAAATGTAAACAAACCAATAATAAACATATAAGAAAAAGATAAGAAATAATACATCAGGTAAATAACAAATAAGAAAAAATACATCTGGTGTGTAATTTTAAAAATGATTTACGTTTACAAAAATAAACACAAATAAAATAAAAGTCGAAAAAAATTTAGTAAAGAATATTTTTTTTATACTTTTACCTCAATAAAATAGAAAAAGATACAAACCAAAAAATTATTCTTATTAAAGCAGTGAGTTTTTGCAAAGAATTTATTTGCTTTCTTATTGTTTAAAAATAATTCTGTATAATATAACTTTGGTTATTCTCTTAACTTTTAATTAAGTTTTAATCTTTTTGTTTGAATATTTATTATCATGTTGTGTTCATTACTAAGTTTTTACTGTTTACTATCTCAGTTAAAAAAACATTATGGTTAATGATCGCTGTGTAGTTGGTATTTACAATAACGATAAACGTTATCCAGAGCGTTACGAAATACATAGTAACGTTAAATCTGGAAAATTATGTTTCCACAAGTTGCCTGTTGATGGAAAAACAAGAAAATCATGGATTCATGCAGTTTCTAAAGGGCGAAAACACTTTGTTGTATCTAAACATTTTAAAATCTGCTCTAATCATTTTGTCGATGGCATGCCTACTTATGAAAATCCTAACCCAACACTCTTTTTGACATACACCATGAATGTTCAATGTACTCCGGAAAAAAAACAATCAAGACCTCCTCCAAAAATCAGAACAACATCTATTGTAAAACCTGTTTCTTCAAAAATGATTGAATCTATTAACTCTAACTCGGATACACTTACAGCTGAAGAGTTGTCAGATCTTATGATTGTTTCTTCAGACGAAGAAAGCTTAATATCGTTCAAAATAACTCCATATGTTAGTGGCGATGCAGTTGCAGCAGAATTATTACACATCTCCGACTCTCCCAAAGAATTATTACACCCACCCGCCTCTCCCAAAGAAAAAGACACTGTAAATCCAATTTTGTCTAAGAATAAAACAGGCTACAGTGTTAAAAATAATATAGAGCCTACTCTATTATCAACATATATTGCTTTACAGTTTTCTCATATTACTAGGGACTCAGATGTATCGACTTTTACAGGTTTACAAAATGCAAAAATGTTTCAAAGTGTTTTCAATTATGTCAAGCACAAAGCAGCAGTTATGAAATACTGGGATGGAAATAAAAGAACAAATTGATTACGAAAAACCATGTCCAGTGTTGAATCTGTCGAGCAGCTACACTTATCAGAAGATTATACTATTTGCGATAACTTATTTCCTATGAGAAAAAGCGGACCTAAAAGAAAAATCTCACTGGAACAGGAATTTCTTTTAATTATGATGAGATTACGTTTGGGTCTTTTAATTGAAGATTTAGCTTTCCGCTTTTGTATATCAGCTGGAACAGTTTCCCAAATTATTATTACATGGGTAATATTGTTATCTAAAGAGTTGGACAGCCTAATTTTGTGGCCTAGCCGGAATACAATTCGAGCAACTATGCCAAACTGTTTTAAGCGATTATATCCGAAAGTGAGAACAATTATAGATTGTTCTGAAATATTTTTTGAAACATCAAGTGCTCTTGATGTTCAAGCTTGTATGTGGAGTGACTATAAACATCATGCAACAGTCAAATTCTTAATAGCAATAACTCCGAATGGAGCCATTTCATGGCTGTCTCCCCTTTATGGTGGACGTGCCTCTGCCATTTTTATTGTCAGAAATAGTGGTTTTCTTGATATACTTGAGCCCTATGACCAAGTTATGGCAGATCGTGGCTTTAAAATAAGGACAGACCTTGCATATAAACAGTGTACTCTTTGTATACCTCCAAGTGCTGTTAAAGGAATTCAAATGTCAAAAGAAGAAGTTCGAGAAACATCAAACATTGCTAATGTACGTATTTATGTGGAGCAAGCAATAAAAAGGATTAAACATTTCCGTATTTTAAAAATAACACAGCCATTACTATACCTACCTATCATGAATAATATACTACGCGTATGTGCTGCTATATCAAACTTGAGAAAACCATTAGTTTCTAAATAGTTCATTAAACAAATTTAGTTTACTAAATAGTTTTTTTAATTGTATAATATAATGTTCCACTGTCCAAACTTTAGGTTATTATTATAACATGAGTTTATATCAACTAGGGTTTGAAAGATGTGTAAAAAATTAGTAGTTTTTTTTTAAACTAAACCAGCCCCAAAAAAAGACTTTTTTTTGAAAATCTTTTGAAAATGCAGAAAGAATTTAAAAAAATGTAAATAAAAAAACACCATATTTATCTACAACTCTTAATAAAATATCCATTGAAGATTTAAGCTAAACATAAACTAGACATTGAGCACATGCAACAAACCCAGTCTAGATCTGCTATTAACTCATAGTCTTCTTTTTTTAAATTTTGACATGAACAGTGAAGCCAAGCGCAACATACTTCACATTGAATACTGCTAAATTCTTTAACATTGATTTCTGGATCTTCATTAAATTCTTTAACATTGATTTCTGGATCTTCGAGTATAAGTTTACCGCATTTTCCACAGAATGTTATAGGTTTTATTAGTAATAATGCTGGAGAAACATATGTTTTGAAAAAAATATCTAAATTTGTTTTCACCGTATCCCAGAGCTCTTGATCAAATTCGATTATTTCAACATATAAGTCCTTAAGCGTCCAAACAATAAAATATGCTGACTTGCAATTTGTAATTGCCATTTGGGAATTAATCTGTGTGTAATATTTATGACACTTATTTAATGTTATTTGATCATTTTTTATTGTAAAGAAATTACATTCACTAGCTCCTTCTTTGATTGTTTTATTAAAAATTTTAAAAGGACATTTAACTTCTAAACACATTCTACCATGACATTTGCATACCATAAATCCATCTGGGGAGCAAGCAATGTAAGGTCTATCATACAAAATAAAGAGACCACTTTTTTCAATTTTTAAATCAGTGTGATTTGATACATGCTCTGCATAAAATTTTTTTATAGCATCTTGCTCATGATCAATTCCCCATTTGATAGAAGCAGTAACAAATGTTTTTTTATGAGGGTATAAAATCTCAGCAACAAGAGGAGTTGTTTTAGGCTTCTTAGAACTTGTATTTCTAGAAAGAGTATTAACTTTGGTATATATTCTGTGATGTTTGGATGCAGTTATCCTCCCCTTTCTCATTTGAAACCAGGTATTGCTTTTAGCTTGATCTCTTGTGTTATATTCCACGTTTTTAATTGTTTCATGTGTTAAAACCATTTTTTCTAATAATATTTTCCCTAATGTTGACTCATCAACGTTAGGATGGTCTAAAAGTATTTCAAATGATAGCTTTTCAAGATCAGGATTACTTACAAAATTTTCATCAGATTTTTTAATTTTTGATTTAAATATTACAGCAGAAGGCTCGGATATATGAATGTTGTTTAAAAAAGTTTTAAATGAATGTTCATTAAATTCACGATGACTTTCGATTCTTGGATCGAATTCTTGCAATGCTTTCATCCTTGTGTTTTCCTTATTATTATCATTTTTTTCATTATTTGCAATTTTTTTTCTAACAACTAGGTCAGTTATTAAGCATGGTTTTATATCTTTTCTAGAAGACTTATTCCAGACACAAGCTTGTTCTGTGCATGTTGGATTACACCAACCTTTGTTATTAGCATATTCCATTTTATAAAGGGTGGCAATAACATGATTGCAAACTTCAAAAGCTCCAGCCATACACGAACACCAAGCAGAAAGAATATCATTATTACAAAAGGCAATCCAAAGCTTTCTTTTTTTGTGAATTTTTTGCGAACCACACACTTCAGAATATGCGAATAAAACATCTTTTTTAAACCTGAAGTGCATTATTGGGCCTACAAAACCACTATCGAAAAATGAAAATGCTTTTTGGTCCTTATATTTGCCAATATATTCCGAATCAAAATATTTTTTATTAAGAATATATGAAAAAATATTTCCCATTGTTATACTAGGCCACTCAGATACTAAGTCTTTTCTATTTTCCATTGGAACAGAGTTTGGGTCAATTAGATCTAGAGCTTTTAGCTTGTCCGTATAAGATTGCTTAAGTTTTTTTTCCTGTTCTTCTGCTGTCTCTATAACATCTATATTTAATTCCATTGCAGTAAATGCTCTAGCAACAAGCTCGACTTTGCGTCCAGTAGTACTTAGCCCACGAACAGTTAAAAAACTAACAAGCTTTTTGACAGATAAATTCAAAAAATCTTCGTATTTTTCAAGTGGCATGGTAAAATACAATTTTCAATGATATATTTCCAGATAAACTATTTTTAGATATTTAAACAAACAATAAAAAGATAAAGCGTTTTGCCAAGTTTGTTTATAATTTTGCCCTCCCGAGAAAAACATTAGGTCACGTGATTCATAATTGCCGCTCAATTACGAAAAGGTCTATTGACAACGTTCTTACCAATGACTATTTCAATATTGCACTCAAAAAAGGTATTATAAAAACTGATGTTTCGGATCACTTTCCAATTTTTTTCTGCTTAGGCGCTGACCACAAAACAAATACAAAGGGTAAAATAACATTAAAAAAACGAATTTATAGCAACAATAACTTAAATTTATTTAAAGAGCAACTTTTACACCAAGACTGGAGCTATATAAACTTTAATGAGGATATAAATATCAGCTAAAAATCTTTTTTTAATATATTTTACAAAATATATGAAGCAAATTTTCCTATTCGAGAAATAGTTCTTAACGCCAAAGACATATCTTGTCCTTGGATAACTAAAGGAATAAAAAAATCATCAAAAATAAAACAAAAACTCTATATTAAATATCTTAAAAATAAATCCGACAAACATAAAAATAACTACACAGTTTACAAAAATCTATTTGAAAAACTTCGAAAAAAAGCCAAACAAATTTACTACTCTGACTTGCTTATAAAACACAAGCATAATTCAAGGCGGGTGTGGCAAATAATGAAAGAAATTACTAGCAAACATAAGACAAACACAAATACGATGCCGAATGCTATAAAATTTGAAAATAAGTTAATTACCAATTCAAATGAAATCGCAGCCGAATTCAATAACTTTTTTTCGTCAATAGGACATAACCTATCAAACAAGATTCCTTATGTAGACAACAACTCTGTTGATGAATTTATATCATCACCAAATTCAACTATAAATTTTTCAAATCTAACTTATAATGAATTCGAAATTGCATTTAAATCATTAAAAAGGAATAAAGCAATAGGGCCTGATGATATAAATGGAAATATTGTAATCGACTCTTTTAATGAGATTAAAGATATCCTCTTCAAAGTCTTCAAAGCATCTATTACTCAAGGATCGTTTCCAAATAGTTTGAAAATAGCCAAAGTAACTCCAATCTTTAAAACAGGTGACCATACTAACATAAAAAACTATCGTCCTATCTCAGTTCTACCGGTCTTTTCAAAAATATTAGAAAGAATAATGTATAATAGAATTTACACTTATCTTATTGATAATAAACTCCTTTATAAAAATCAATTTGGTTTTCAGAGAAACAGTTCTACTGAACACGCTATTCTCCAAATAACACGCAGTATTGCTGATTCATTTAAGAATTCTCAATTCACACTAGGCATATTCATTGACTTGTCAAAAGCTTCTGATACTGTTAATCATCATATTTTAATAAAAAAGCTAGAGAGCTATGGTATAAAAGATAAAACCCTAAATTGGTTCAAAAGCTATCTAAGTAACCGCAAACAATTTGTTTATAACAAAGAATCTTCATCGCAAATAATAAAAAATATAACATGCGGTGTCCCCCAAGGGTCCATACTTGGACCACTATTATTTCTATTATACATAAATGATCTTTACAAAGCTTCTACCCTAACGACCGTAAATTTTGCAGATGATACGAATTTATTTCAGTCGCACGAAAACATAGAAATACTTTTTAATAATATGAATAATGAATTAAAAAGAATATCATATTGGTTTAGAAAAAATAAATTGTCCTTGAATACGGATAAAACAAAGTTTATACTTTTTCACCCAACCTCTAAAAAGCAAGAGAATCCAAAATATCTTACCTGACCTATTCATTGACAATACAATCATAAAAAGAGAAAAATTTACAAATTTTTAGGAGTCATAATAGATGAAAACTTATCTTGGAGTCAGCAAATTGATAGTATTTCAATAAAAGTTGCTAAAAACATTGGAGTTCTATACAAAGCTCGATATATACTAAATAAAAAGCAACTAACTCAACTATATTATTCATTTATTCATTGCCATATAAACTATGCCAATATTATATGGGGAAGCGCTCACAAAACCAAACTTAAATCTCTCTCTCGGCATCAGAAACACGCAGCTCGCATAATTAATTTTGGAAATCATTTTTCAAGCTCAACACCACTTCTTATAGAAATGAAAGCTTTAAATATATACGAACTAAATATTTTTAATATTTTATGTTTTATGTTTAAATGTAAAGAAAATTTATCTCCAAGTGTATTTATAAATCTCTAATTTGAAACCAAAAAACAAATATGAACTTCGTGATAGTAAAAATATTCAAGAGCCGTTTTGCAAAACAAAAATTGACCAGTTTTGTATTTCTTATCGTGGTCCATTTCTTTGGAATAAAATAGTTTTACCTAACTTTGATTTTTCTTTTAAATGGTCTTATTCCTCCTTTAAAAAGAAAACAAAAGAAATAATCTTTTCAACACAAAATATATTTATTTTTAGTATTTCAAGTTATTTGATATTTTTGTCGACTGTGTAATGAATATTATTTAAACAATATATGCTGAATACTTTATATTATAATATTGTTCAATATTGAGAATGTTATATATCCATATTATAAAATATTATGTTAAAACTTGCTTAACATCTGAAGAATATTCTAACGCTTATGTAATTTTTAATATTTGTAAATTTTCTACCTTTTAATTCGTTATATAGATTGTAAAGGGCTTCATGATAAGATCATGTGATCTTCTGGAAGTCCTACCAGTAATATATTCAATGTAAATTTACTTTGTTCATATTTGTCTGAAAAAAAAAAAAAAAAAAAAAAAAAAAATACGATCCTCATTTGAAGAGGTATTTGATTGGAAATCAAAATGTTTTTTTTTTTTTACTAAAAAAATAAACCACAAACATTCACCGATTGCTAAAGTTGAGACCATACCATTGATTAACAAAATGATTGAACGTTCTTTGAATAGAGAGGACGATTAGGGAAGTGCTGTACATTCTCGTTTGATGTCTAACTAAGATCTTGTAGCGGAAAAAGCCACCTATCATATTTCGTGTATGAGCAACTTCAGGCTTTAAACTAAAAGCAATAACCAACACGGACGCCCATTAGATCTCACTATGTTTAAAAATTTTTAAAAACTCTGTCTCTGGTTAGAGGAAGGAACTGACTGCGAACTTTATACCTTTTCCGATTTGCAAATAAGGATGAAAGAACTTAGTAATGGTTATCCGTATTACTCAACAAAATCTTTAAACGAAAATTACTTAAACATTATTGCGATCATATTTTTTTTTGAGAATTCTTAGGTCAATCTAATTTAGTTTGTATGAATACATCATTGGAAAGATGAATTTGATGATAAAACAAACATAATGAAAGATGAAACAAACATATTGAAACTTTGTGTATAGAAATTCTGAATAAAACTGGTAAGCCTTTTTTAATCTCCTCGCTTTATCGACCGCCATGCGGTAAGCAAATTAACTTCCATAATAGCCTTAGAACAATTATCTCTCAAATGAGTATTCAGAATAAGCATATTTTTTTTGCTGGGGATTTAAACTTGGATGCAATGTGTTATGAAAAATTTGTAAATACAAAAAACTTTTTTAACTTATTACTTGAATTTAACATAATACCGACCATTTTTAAGCCTACGCGTATTACAAAAACTACTTCGTCCGCAATCGATAATATTTTAACTAATAATATTTTAGATACTTATTTTGAATCAGGTATTTTTATTACAGATTTCTCTGATTATTTTCCTATCTATCATATTGCGCACGGAGTTTTATCTAACGACGACAATAAAAAAATATTTGTTACTAAAAGAAATCTTTGTTTTAAAAGCCTAGATAAACTTAAAAAGAAACTGTACGACGAGCGATTGGAAGATGTCTATTCCTCTGCAGACACCAATAGCGCGTTTAATAATTTTTCGAATACTTTTCAAAATGTTTATGACAATGTTTGCCCAAAATTAACCACTGAAATAAAAAACAAACAACTTAAGAACCCATGGATGACAAATAATTTAATAAAATCATCAAAAAGAAAACAAAAGCTTTATATAAAATTTTTAAAATCTAAAAAGGAAAATGACGAAAATGAGTACAAATCATTTAAAAAGTTTTATCAAAATAACTTAAAACAAGCTAAAATACTATTCTAACTAGCTGAATAAAAATAAGTTTGATATCAAGAAAACCTGGTCTATTATAAATGAAGTAACTGGAAGAGAGAAAAAGAAACTCTCTTGCTTACCAAAAAAAGTGATTATTAACAACAAAACTATAACAAATGAAAAAAATATATGTCAAGAATTTAACAATTATTTTGTTAATGTGGGCGCCTCTCTTGCATCTAACATTGTTCAGTCAACTAAAGTGTTTGATGAATACTTGGGAGAGAAAACCGCGACTAGCATATGAAAAAACAACATTTTCATTTGAGAATTGTATATTTCTTGATAAATTAAAATCAGCCAAAATTCATCCAGTTTTTAAAAATGGTGATTGTTCTTCTGTTTGCAACTACCGTCCTATATCACTACTCCCTGTATTTTCAAAAACATTTGAAAGGGTAATTATTAATAGAAATTATGATTATATGACATTAAATACACTTTTATACAAAAATCAATTCGGATTTCAGAGATATTGCTCAACTGAACTTGCTATTATTGAACTTTCCAATAAAATACCCTATCCTTTGATAAAGGGGAACAAGTACTGGGAGTATTTATCGATCTCTCTTAAGCATTCGATACTGTTGATCACGGAATTTTGCTTTCAAAGCTAAAGCATTACGGTATTAAAGGCCTAACATACAATTGGGTTAAGAGTTATCTTTTTAATAGAAAACAGTTTGTTGTCCTGGAGGAGTCAGGAGCTCTTGATATTGTTTGCGGAGTCCCACAAGAACCAATTTTAGGACCTTTATTATCTTTAATATATATCAATGATATGAATAAAGCTTCACATAAAATATCGTCAATTATGTATGCAGACGATACAAATTTATTCTACTATAATTCTGATGTAAAAGTATTGTTCGAAACAATGAACTCTGAACCAGAAAGCTTTAACCAATGGTTTATAGCTAATAAGTTATCATTAAATTGTGAAAAAACAGTTTATACTCTCATCCATAAAATAAGACAATCAACTAATCTTCCATTAAAGTTGCCAAAACTGTCAATCAATAAAAATGAAATAAATCGAGTAAATAATTCAATGTTTTTGGGCGTAATATTTGATGAAAACCTATCGTGGAAAAAACATATTAGTCTCATTGAAGGAAAAATATCTTCTGCTATAAGTGTATTATATAAATCTAGGGCCTTTCTCGATTATAAATCACGCAAAATGCTTTACTTCAGTCTTGTTTATTTTCATCTCTCCTACGCTAATATTGTTTGGGCTAACACACACAAAACTATGTTATTAAGATTACAGAGCCTACAAAACCTCGCATGTAAAACAGTTAACTATTTAAAGAGATTAGAAAACCCTTATCCTGTAATGAAATACATGAATGTTTTAAATATATCAAAACTTTGCTTCAAATATTAATATTTATGCATAAATATAAAAATAACTTGCTGCCGAAAGTGTTTTCTGATATTTTTACAGCAGCATTTTCACAAAAATACAATCTTCGGTCAAATAACAACCATAACTATCACTTGAGCAAAGTAAAATAGTAATAGCCAAGGCCCGTCATTATGGAATCAATTAAAAAATAACAATATAAAAAAATTGAAAAGCACTTTTTCTTTTAAACGACAAATGAAACTGCATCTCCTAAATTTCTGACATATATGTAAGTATGTTTGTATAAGTGTGTGTCTTGTACCCCTTGGCTTCTGACCCACTCATATATTCTTTGTGTAATGTAAAAGTTTCATTGAAATTTTATTATTTTATTTTTATATAAACAGCGAAATATATTAAAAAAAAAAAATTAAATGAGGTTTTTCTTTATCACATACATGGTCAGGATGTGACTGGGAAATAGAAAATCTATTTTTTTAAATTACTTCAAAAATTGAATAATATACATGTATATATTAAATATCTTCTCTTGTAATTATTTATATTTTTTTATTTTAGCTTGTAAATTTTATAAAATATTAACGCGTTGTTTTAAAATGTAATAAAAAACAAAAAAAAATGCGATTGTTTTACATTTTAAGGGTATTGAAATTGAAGAAGATTCAAGTGATGAAATTGAAAACGAGAGAAATTTATTTCATGATTTGTTTTGAAAAAAGTAAAATATCGGACATCGATATTTTAAAGAAATTTACTCAAAGTTATTTAAAAAATATATCTTTCTTTTCACATTTTTTTCCTATATAAAATTATGCACAGGCAAAAGATATAATGTTTTGAAAACTAAAAAATATAGTATTTAAATGGCTTTAACACATTTCAAACGCGATTAACTTAAAAAATATTTGTTTTCAAGTCATAGTTTTTATATAAATTTGATCAGAATAAAATTTTCTATCAAACGGTATTTTATGATATTTTTATATAAACGATATATCATAAACGATAGTTTATGATATTTTGCTGCTGTCAAAATTGACCCTTTTTTTACCCCAAATTTCCTCAAAAGGGATGTTCCCGTAGCGCAATCAACGGGTTTTTTTTTTAAGCTCATCCAAAGACTGTCAAATTTCTCTCTGCAAAATTTTAGCTTTATACCATTTTTGTCCGGGTTTGACCCTATTTTTTGCCAATATTAATACTAATATTAATACAAAACCTTTAGAAATTTTTTGCACATGTTCTAGACATGTAAACTAAGGTTTTGACACATGTATTTTAAGATTATTTGGCTCCATCAACAATTATCGCAATTTTCTATAGAACATTAAAAAATAAATAACTTTTGAACTTTGAAATGCCATTCCCTACAAAATAATATAATATATATTTCCTGAAAATTTGAAATGGTTTACAAGATATCATGTTTTCTATTACGCCATGTTTCGCAATAATCAAAAACAGAAAAACCCAAAAGAAGATTTAATATTAAAAAAAAAAAAAAAACTATAAAGTATGAAAAACTAAAAAAATCCAGCAGAATAAGCTTGGCATGGTAATAGTATAGCTTCCTTATCATTGAATTCTATTTTTTTGGTGGCGCAACTTCAGTCGTTGGATTTTTGTTGCAAATAAAGACTTAATTGTGGATTTTTTTAATTCTGTATTTACCTCGGTGAATCAAACCGATATGAGTAAAATGTCCAATTCGTATTTCCAAACTTTTCAAAACATCAATATTTCTATGCTACCTCAATTAAAATTGATAATTGCAGAATTTACTGAGATTTTGATTTTTTCTATTTACAAAAATGTTGTGGCATCATTTCCAAATTATAGCATTTAATGCCTCATTTTTTTTGTGTAAGACCATTTAATGATGACAGACCTCTTTTTTGCCACGTTCCGTCAACCAAAACCTGATATTGAATTGTACCATCATGTAAAGCAATATTTTAAATCAAGTTTCTAGATTCTAAAGTTGGTTTGTTAGTAACCTGTTGAGCTACAGTTTTATATAGGTTGTTAAACTTTTTGTTAATTTTATCATATGCATTTAGGTAATTAAAAGAATGTTCATTAGATGGTGGTATAGTTTCCTTGCTTCATAACCTTTACCTATTTCTCTAAATGCTTTCATGGCTATCACTTCCTACAGAATTATCGAAAAGATTTGAAATAGATCTGGAAGTTTGAAATGAATGACACCAATCACAGGAAGCACAGCAAAGTTCCAGGGTTAAACAAAGTCCCATTCTTTTATTAGGCCAATTTTTTATAAAAGTTGTAGAGAAGCAACTAGGACGTTTCTTAACTTCTGGAATCATTAAATGAAGTAAATCAAATTTTCATTATTAAGTTCAAATCATTATAAACAAGTTCCGAAATTTTTCTTGCAATAAATTTTTTTGCACTGGCTACTGTTGTTAAAGAATTTGGCTCTTGTGGTACAACTGTGCTTTGACATTGCATTTTTTGCGCTTTGTCGTAAACTTAAATTTGAGCAGCCCTGGCGCAATGGTAGCGCACTTGCCTCAGAAATAAAGGATCCGTGTTTCAAACCCCACCTCTGCGCGAGTTTTGCGACATCAGTCAGGAAGGAGGCAACTAAATGTACATCCGTGGTACCCTGTGATAAAACAGTAAGAACTTTTTAGGGCACCTAAAAAATTAAAAAAAAAATAAAAATTATCCAGTTGTGTTTAAGAATGTTTTGCGTTGCTATGGCCGTTGCTACGGATCTTTTTCTTAAAAAGTTACCTCTTTTTCAATAAAAAAAAAAATTTGGCAACTAACTTATATTGATAATATATTAATATATTAACTTATATTAATAATGTACAACAAATTGCCTATCAAATGAGCTAAATATCAAACATTTTATTTTTTTGAAAATTTTGTGAAAATACTTGGTGTTGCACCACCTTATTAATCTCAAAATAAGAAAGATCAAATTAAAAATTAAAAAAATAAAGTTTATGTCTATCAGCACTCCTTAGAAGCTACAAGAGTTAAATAAATCTGTTTTTTTAGTATCTAAGTATCCATTAAGGATTGTCCATTAAATAAGTACGCTCGGATGGGGAAAAGGGGGTCTGCATATTAGATGGGGGGCAGGTAATCAATTATAAAAGTAAGGAGACACTAAATTTAAAAAAATGTTGGGTAGGTGGGTTAAAAGCGTAGGTATTTTTAGGGAGGTGGAGGTTACTCAAAAAAGCGTACAGCGAAATACAATTTTAATTTACCGTCATCAGAATAATAAAACAGACAGGGGCTCAAAGAAGATAAGGATGACTGGTGTCACCACAATCTTTTCATAGAGCCCCTTTAGAATATCATTTAAAGCCCATATGGCTTTAGAAAATTTACAACAAACATTTTATCTGTTAAATACTACGTGAAGAATAAAGAAAAACTCATATATACATATATACTCATATATGCATATACCCATAAAAACACACACATATACAAACATACTTACATATATGTCAGAAATTTAGGAGATGCAGTTTTATTTGTTGTTTAAAAGAAAAAGTGCTTTTCAAATTTTTTATGTTGTCATTTTTTAATTGATTCCATAATGACGGGCCTTGGCTAATAATTGAGAATTTCGACACTTGCGATTTTACTATGCTCAAGTGATAGTTTTGGACCAAAGATTGTATTTTTTTGAAAATGCTGCTGTAAAAATATCAGAAAACACTTTTGGCAGCAAGTTATTTTTATATTTATATAAATATTAATATTTGAAGCGAATTAAGTTTTGATATATTTAAAACATTCTTGTATTTCATTACAGGGGAAGACTTTTCTAATCTCTTTAAATAGTTAACTGTTTTACATGTGTGGTTTTGTTGGCTCTGTAATCTTAATAACTTAGTTTTGTGTGTGTTAGGGTTAGGGTTAGATATTTAAGTTAAAACTTAATTAAAAATCAACAAGTCACCGCTTGAGGCCTCAAGTATGGAATATAGTAATCAATGATGACTTGAAAACGCTTTTAATTATAAACCATTTTAAATTAAAAATAGAAGAAATAATATTAAATAATAAAAACATTTCCTAAATATTTTCCTTTTATAAGCAAAACAGTAAAGGGTCCGAAAATTTTTTTTTGTCTTTTAAAAAAGAAAAGGTCCCCAATTTTAAAGATATTTTAGGACCTTTAGATTCTGGTGAGGGGGGGGGGAATAACCATACCCACCCCTGGATCCGTCACTGATACAAAAGTTAAACTTTTAAAAAAGAAAGTTACTGCGGCTGTGGCGCAACGGTTTTAGCGCTTGCTTTATATATATATATATATATATATATATATATATATATATATATATATATATATATATATATATATATATATATATATATATATATATATATATATATATATATATATATATTATATATATAAGAAAATAAGACTGGTTCCCAAGTTATGGCAATTTATGTTAAGCCCAATAACGTCAAAATTTGTTGAGTTTTCTTTAAGGATTTATGGTACCAAACTTTGATATAAGATTTATTTTTCAAATCCCATCCATGAGAAAGAGTTTCATTGAAGTATTTATACTAAATTATTTTTACTGTTTTCTTTTTTTAATTAAAGAGCCAAAGCATTTAATTCTACAAATTATTGCTCTCATTTAAAGGGCCCCCAGGTAATGATCCCAGTGCTCGTTTGCCTTATTTGAGACAATTGGGTTAAAAAATATAAAAACTTTGTTAAAACCATAAAAATTAAAGATAAAGAGCTTTTTCAAACTATCAGAGTGAACATATTCAATTATATTTATAAATTTTAGGGAAATATGTAAAAATACACAAGACACGTTTTCTCATTTTGGGGCAAATTGAGCCAAGAGTACAAAAATCTGTTAAAACCTTAAAGATGAACTTTAGTTAAAGAAAATTAGACTTTTCAATTTGTCAGAGTGAACAAATTCATTTATATTTACAAATATCAAGAAAATATGTAAAAATTTCAGGGCTTTTTTCATTTCCCAGGGCGACTGGGCCGGAACAATTAAATCTCTGTAAAAATAATAAAAATTAACTTTAGTTAAAGAGCAAAAGTTTTTTCATATTGTCGGAGTAAACAAGTTCATACATATTTATAAAAATCCAAAATATATGTAAGAATCCCATCGCTCGTTTGCCCCATTTGGGGCAACTGAGTCAAAGACATTGAAATTTGTGTAAAAACTTAAAAAAATAAACTTTAGTTCAAGAACGAGAACTATTTTTAATGTAAAAGTAAAAAAATTCATATACATTAATAAAAATCTAAATTTTCCGGAAAGAAATGACTTTGTAAACCATTGAAATGCAATGTTTTGCTTTGTCCAACCACTGTCTGAAATACTTCATGTACTTTCTTCTGAGGCATTTTCAATTTGAAAACTCGAGATATCTAGTAGTTTTTCCTTTAACTATGAAATGTGGTAGAAGAGATTTAAGTATTGCATTGACACAAGCTATTACTGTTATTGTTTCCCGGTTACCTGAATGACGACAATAAAAATACTTAACTCCTTTTTTAGCAACTATTGGCGATAATTAAACTTCACCCCAATCTCATCCATATTCCAAATGTTTTGATGTTTCTGAAGTAGGTTGTTTTCCATTAACACATTATTAAGAATGGAATAATGTTTCAACACTTTAAAAACATTCATACATTGATGTCTAACAGCTGCTGTACCTTCTG